TTACAGTTGCTTCCTTTCACCAAAGGAATGCCTGCCCTCAAAAACAGGGGCCAGAAAGTAGAACAAGGGATTACATGGGAAGATGATATGCCATGCACAAATGTACATCGACGGCCTCGGGCTTTGACACCAAATTATTATGCTAATGCCATGCACATTGGTACAATGATTGTTTGGAAAGGCAGTGTTTTTTACGAGTGGGTCAAAACCATATTTGATTGTTTTCTCATAGGACTCATTCTGTAAAACTAGAGTTATAAGCCTATCCTGATCCTTCACTGCTGTGAGATTTGTAGCCCATAAGCTCGATTCCCAGAGAGGTGGGAGCTCTTTGAAGCATAACTATGTTGGTCAATTGGATGCCCTTAGGTCTCATCAGCGGGGAGCCTGCATCTAAGAAACTGCAGAGGGTGAGGAGAGCTGAGACCCTTAAGCTGTGCTGGTACTTAAGCTATGCTGAGTAGCTGCCCTGCCACCGAGTGGCATTTGCTTTGTTGGAAAGAGATTTGCCACATGTGTCTGGGCTTTGGCCATAGATAAGCTGAACCTGATGGCATCAGGGAGTCTTTGTACGGTTCTAAGTGGTTGATCAAAGCCAACCCTTCAACAGGGACAGCTGTAGAGGCTCCAGTCTGTATTCTTGTGTCAAGATCAGAGAGGAGAAGACATGACTGAACTGATTTTCTACTTTGCTGCAGGAATCTTGGAAAAGCATTTAGGATTCAGGCAGGAATTCAGACAGGAGAATCACACCACCTTTTACTGTCCATGAAAGCATCAGGCAACCCTTTGCTCTATCCATCCTTTGGTGTATATTTTTTCTGTCTCTCTCCATTCACCCCACCATATGTGGCATGTTGGATGCGCTGCCTCCCGCTCTTTTTTTCTGCCCCAAGGTTGTTGTCAGCTTAAGAGTGATGTCTGGTAGCCTTCTTTATTGCACACAGTACAGAGAAATACGAGGATGGCAACCCTACAGGAGCAGATGGCTTCACATGCCTGGATCTGTTTCCCCAGACAAAGTAGAATACTGCACACGGGTGTTCATTTCACTTGGTAACATCTACTTGAAATATTGGTGGGTGTTGTAACATTTGGAGAAGCAGGCGGGCTGTTACAAAGACTCATGTGGGCAGGGCAGAGTGAGGGGTATACAGGTACTGGGAATCCTGCACATTTCTGGTAGACTGTCCCTTTTCAGAGGAGAGGACAGGATGCCAAAAGAAAGATGCTGTAAGGAGAGGGGGATTTCTCTCTACCCTACTGCATGCAAATATGTGCCCACCTCCAGCAAGGCTGGCCAAGAGTAAAGGGACTCACTGTTTGGGAGGAATTACCCATAGACTCATTTCAGAAACTTCAGGCATGGACCTCAAAGGCTCAGTTTCTCTTGAGGATGTTGGGGGTTGGACACATAGTAAATGCACTCTTCAGACAATAAGCGGAGACTGCAACATGGCAGGGTTTGTAGCACTAGCAGGAGAAGGTCCTCTGTACCACCCATCTGCAGGGCAGTACTTGGAAGTGCATGTAGGAGGAAAGGTGGGAACATAAGGAGACAAGGAAGGAGCAAGGACGTCTCTGTGTGCAGAGAGGACTCATCGACGGGAGGGAAGAGGGGGAGACTGATGAACATATGGGGGAGAGAAAGGATTAATTAGACCAGCAAGGAAAGGGAAGAGTCACAGCTCAGGGATGTCAGAGGCAGTTGTTCCAGGGTGGTGGCTCGGAAGCCCTCTGACCTCATCCCTGCATCACCCCACATGACGATGTTGTCCCCTTCTGTCAGACAACAGTCTCCATCATTCCAGCTTGCTGGCCCACCCCCTCCATGCTAACGTGTTTCTGATGATTACCATTTTTCAGAACTATTTTGACTGTTAAAAAATGCTTTTTTTAAAATATAAGCTGATTAAAAGAGACTACTCATTAGCATAAGCTCCTTGCTGTTCAGCCCTCTTCCTAATTAAAAGCACTCATCTGTGGAGACCTCGATTCTCCCCTGTCCTCTGGGCTAGCTTTTTGGACATTTTTCCCTGGCAGTTTGCTTTATTTTGCCTCATCTTCCTTTTTTTTTGGTTTCCTCTCCAGCAGCTTCCTGGCAAGGATGGAAGAGGATTCAGGCAGGTGGAAGCTTAGGTATTTAGTACCAGATGAAAACCAGAATGAATTTGTTGTCCCTTAAAGCATCATCTTCTGTTTATTGCTGCTGGCTTGGAAGCAGAGCCAGCAGCATGCTGGCTCCTGGGTTCTCGGGAGTTTTGCCTCCTAGGGCAACAATCTCCTCCCGTCTAAAGAGCGTTAGGCTGGTGGCATGTTTGGATGGCAGATCTGTAATGCGAACCCAGGGGTGCTGGTGGCTGTGCAGCAGGTGTTGTTTTTTCTCTCACTCAGCACTAAGCCAAGGTCCCAGCAAGGGATCAGCTGCCACTGTGTTACAGGGAGAGCAGCTTTATGGTGAGCTGCAGAGGTCCCGACCACATAGCCACATGATGGCTCTCAATGGCTGTAGACTCAGTACTTTGCAAAATTTTAATGCAAAGAACTATTTTCGCTCTTCCTTGGTTTTTCCCAATGGTCCTAAATTAAATAAAGTGGCCTCTTTCATTTCCCTCAGTGTTTCCCAAGTCTAAGCAGCTGCAATGTTTAGTCCTGAAGTGGCAGCATTTATGAGACCACTGAGGTCTGTTGCCCACAGGGGCTTGGAAACTTGCATCAGAACTGGGAAGCCCCGCAAATGATACTCAAATCCTTTCTAAGCATTGGTTATTAAATCCCTGAGGCAGAAATGGTGTTTAAACTGTCCCACAGCAGTCTGGCACTGCAGCCAGCTTGCTCGCATCTCTGGGATAGGTGAGATGCTTACTGGTGCTCTGCAAGTACTCAGGAAGAGGGAAACTTGGTTGCCTGCATGGGGCAAGCTCACCAGCATGTGTGGAAGGAGATTTCTCCAGACAGTGGTGTTTAGAAATCTGATATCTTTCCATGCTTATGGAATGATGGCAGACCTCGAACTACTCCATCAGCCATTTGCTTTCCTGAGAAAAATTTCTATGGTTCACCTGTGAAATATGACAGATGTCTGCTATCAGCAAAAGTCTAGGTTCTTCATTTAAGGAGTTTCATCCTCAGCTCCAGTCATATGTCACTTGATGCCACTAATGAGGAGAGGGTTAAAGGCTCTGCTTGCAGGGATGGCTTAGACATAAGTTTTTGTCTAAGCAAACTCAGGGATGGCTGGCCAGGGACCTGTAACCCAGCAGTGGAACACAAGGAGACAGCAGACATTTTCCTCGTCCCTGTTTCCATCTCATTCCCTCTATGCTAAGGCTGTGTTAGAGCTAGGACGAGGTTTGGCTCAATATCCCTTCTCCCCATGGTTTATTAGTGTCTTATGCTTAGCCCTGCAGGAGCTGACACAGCTATGGAGAAGTGAGACTGGCGTCTAATTTGCGTCATGCCTCAGCAGCTACAGTCTCACTATAGGCTCTTTCTTCCTGGGGTTTCTCTAAGAGCCAGAAAAGAACAGCTGATTTTCAGATCCTGGAGATAGCTGGGAGGTTAGATACTCTGGGGTTAATGGTCATCTCTTTCGCATCAACTCTCCACTGGTGGAAGTCCATTGGTTGTAATGAAGTGATGCCTGATTTACCATGGCAGTTAGAAAAGCATCCCTCTTAGTTTATTTATTTCCTTTAGCATTGAAAAATGAAACCCATCTGAACTGAAGGGGAGGATGTCACCATTATGTGAGAGATTTATTCTGGTGAAAAGAGCTGCCCTTTCATATAGACTCTTTATACTCCAAACCCCATCCTTTGCTTCGACATCCTCCTTCCCTGCTTTCTCACATGACGTCCGTAAATCCCCTGCTGTGCTGCACGCGCCCATCTCCTCTCAGTTTGTGTGTGCTGCGCTGGGGCAATCAGTAGCTTCAGTTGTACATACTGAGGGGATGCTGTTGGCTCTGGCTTACACCATGGCACCTCAGAAGTAACTTGAGAGAAGTTTGTGGCACTGAAGCAGTCAGTCCTCAGGTATGTGTTCAGCCAAACCACAGCTGTAAAGTCCCATTCAAAAGGTCAGTAACAATGTTTTTAGCTGTCACCACCCCTCCATGGATCTGCTCTGCTTGCTTGACTGTCTTTTCAAAGTTGTCAGCCAGTCTAAGGTCTCACCTGGAATTCTGAAGGAACCCGAAGGGTACAGTCTGAATAGGCTGCAAAGGTCAAGGCAATGCCTCAGCTCTGATGAAGGGCCAAAGTTACTTCTGGTTTCACACAGTTGATTCAGTAACTTTTACACCATGATGACTTCAGCTTAAGGTAGTGGCTCCACCTTGTCAATAAATAATCCAGTCTCACTTTTGCAAAGAAGGTGCTACCATCCTGCTTTCACAGGCGGAGAAACTGAAACTCCTATATTTTAGGAGTAAAGAAATGAGATACGTATAACAATGGTAAAATTCAAAGTAATTTCCAAATATGGATTTCAATTGGATCTGGGCCATATGAGTCTGTCCAAGAAAGGTCTTCTCTCTTGTCCAAGACTTACTGAAATGTTTCTGTTTCTCCTGCCTTATTCAGTTTCTTTTTCCTTGCATTCAACAAGGCTGTCTGCCTCCTCTGCTGCCAGGGCCTTCCTTCATCTCTTACACAGCTTACTTCTTACCCTTTCTGCTGAGTTAGCTCTCACTCAGATCTGTCTAAGAAAGTGGGACTCTTAAGAGGGACGGAAAGAGTTAAGCAGTGAAGAGAGAAGTCCTCTGGCCAAAAGGAGGGAGAGGGGCTCTGGTCTTCTGCAAAAAGTGTTTTGCAGTTGCTAGGACTGGCTCCCAGCATCAACTTTGTAAGAAGTCTGCCCTCTCTTTCAGGCATCTTGGTATTTTCCTTACTTTAGCAAGGGGAAAAAAAAAAAAGACGCAAACCAAAACAAAAAGCCTGACATCAGATCTAATTAATAATAATAGAAAAGCCAATTTCACAGCCCATTACCCCTCATAGCCAGGTGGGGGGTAGGAAGGTGAGGAGGAGGAGGGACTTGAAGAAACATGGGCGGGTGTGTTTGTGGACCTCATGAAAGAGATGGGGCAATGGTGACTCACAGAGTTTCCCTGCCAGACGTATAGCTTTAGGCTCCATTAACCCAGAACCCAACAGAAGGTACCATAGCCAAGGGGAAAATCTTTAAAAATGCCGACAGCATCATTTTGCTTCATTAGCAGGGCTCCGGCGTGCCTCCTTCTCTCTTCGCTACCACTATGACCCCCTCCCCTCAGTGCCCCCTCCTTTCCCTCTCTTTCCGTTTCGTTTAACTGAAGGCAATTCATCTCGTTTTAATTAATTTTTACTTGCAGCGTTATCACCCCAAGTATAAAGGCAAAAAGTTGTTTTTTTTAATTACAAAGCTAACGGCATTAATTACCAGTACAGTTAATGCATCAACGCATGGGAGCCAAGTGGCGTTTGGAGGCACTGAGGCAGTGAACGTTCCCGACAGCTGCAAAGGGTTTGGTGGGTTTTTTCTCCGTTTCTTTTATTTTTTTTTTTCTTTTTTGGTCTGTTTAGCGGCCTCACCACAGAAGAGTCACACTTTAGGAAAAAACAGCCTGAGCTTTTTTAAACCACAAATCAGCTCCAGCCACCCACTGGGGTATGGCATCTGGAAGGGATGCAACAGAGCATCCTTAAACTGAAGGGCTGGAAGGGGCAGTAAAAGAGCATTTAGTCCATCCCATTCCCCAAGACAGATGCCACCAGAACCTGTTTCAGTCTTGATAGATATTTGTTAACTCCCAATATGCACAATGAGTCTAAGTCAGATTGGTTGGGTAGTTCATCCAAGTTTCACTCTTTTTTCCTTAATGGATTCTTGTGGTGTGGAATATTTGCAAAGCTTTGATGAGCTGAGCAAGTGGAGATGACTGTAGGGGGCTGACCTCTGCCCAACTATGGCGAATAAGTCCACCTCTAAGAGGTGAAAGTGAATGCTCTGGACCCTGAGGACAGAACAAAAAGCATAAACCCAAGTACTTTGTGTTAAAAAGATGGGATTTGGTACAAGAGTCGCACTTCCTTCCCAGATGCATGGTGGTAGAGAAGAGGAACATCACGAGCCAAGGGAACCTGCTTTCTGAGAGGACAGGGCTTGGAGAAAGGGGTGTGAATGGCATTGGCTACTTCAGGAGAAGGGCTCTTAGCTCTCCCTCTTGGGCTGTCAGGGGGCATCTGGCCTGTCTCCCTTTATTTTGTTCCAAGAGGAAGATGCAGAATCAGTTAAGGACAGGAGAGGAACGCTTGAATGTGCCTATGTTGCACTGGCACTTGGAACATGAAGGTCGCTTGGCCATTACCAGGCGGTGAGTAACCTCGGGAGGAAAGGAAGGATGGTACAGGAAAGGCACCTCCGCACTCAAACGGAGCAAGGGGAGATGATGCAGCATGTGAGGAGGATTACTTCTGCTACTCTGTTATTTCCATTATGTTACAGATAAACTGGCAAGTGCTGAGGAGCAGGGGAGCTTGGCCCCAAACTGAAGTTTTTATATGTGCTTCTTGAGACATATTTTCATTTGGCCTATTTCTGGCTAAAACCTTATCTGCTCCTGCCATGGCAAAACCTCTCAGCTAAGTTGTAAAAGAGGTCTCATTTTAACCCTCTCTGAAAGAATGGGAAGAGGTGTCTTTGTATGGCCTTGCCTTTCAGTCAGAGCCTGACTGTGAAAAGACAGCTATAAGGAATGAAAATGACCCTAATAAAACGATATCTATCATTTTCTTATTCCAACTGGAAATTCTGTGGCACAGAAGATCAAAAAAAGGGAATTTAGTCAGAAACAACCCGAAGGGAAAAAGTTATGAAATTAAAACCCAAAGAACCAGCAGGGAAAATGCTTTAAAAAAATCCCTTATTAGAGTCACAGGAGGTAGCACCATACCTCACATGAAAATCAAAATAAAAACCTGGAAGCAAAAAGGTAAGAGAAACTCATGCACTTAAGTACCAAGTGTTGGTTTATTCGAGACAGAAAAAGAATCCTTTAAAAATTGGATATTCCATCCAAGTGATGCTAATAGAATGGAACATAAAATGGAGCACTGAGATGTAAAATACAGATTAGGAAAAAATTTGAAGAACAAATAGCCAAAGATAACACAAGCAATAATAATAAATTCTTTACATACCAAGAGTAGGCAGCCCCAGGGAGAGTCAGTTAAGAAGGTAATCAGGACAAACAGAGATTGCAGAAAAGACTTGGTCATTACTAGAGGGGAGAAGAGGACCCTGAATGCCCCATCGTGCATTTTGCAGAGAAAAGATGATGACTCTGTTCTTGGATAATATGTGAATAATAATGAAACTGTGTAAAAAATGGGGCTGTAACAGATCTCCAGCTTATTGCCAAAGGATTCCATGTTGGCAGGTCCCACATTTGACTTGCAGTCCTCCACAGAGGAATTTATATTCCCTGATCATCACCTCAGTACCACCACAGATTCTCTGGGGGAAGAAGCAAGCTAAGAAGAGCAGGTATGAAATGTGAGCCTGTAGAACCAGCAGGTGGATTCCTACAAGAAGACATCCCTTAATAGGTTCACAGGAGGTCACACCAAATTCCCAAATTAAAATCAAAACCTGGAAACAAAAGGGAAAAAGGAACAAGTGCAATTAAATACCCAATTGCCTAGGTTTATTCAAATTAAAAAAAAAAAAAAAAAGGGGGAGGGGAGAAAAAAAAGAAAAGAAGGAAAGATCATATGAGGGACATGAAATATCCTTTTTTAATTTTTTTATTTTTTAATTTTTTTTTTAAATTATCAAGTCTTCATTTGTACTATCTTTAGCAGTTCTGGTATTCCCCTTTAATTATCTCTGTTAGTTCTGCCCACTCTGAAACACTTTTTTTGGTCACTCACATTAGACTTTAGGCTGATTTGGTTTTATTTTGTCATTTCCAAAATGAGGGGCATTGTTCATTCATCCTGTACTCCAGGAGCCTAGCATGGTCTCTGCCCAGCATCCCAAAGCGCACACCACTGGGCGTACAGGTTGCAAGTGCAATGGAGGAGCAGAAACTGGTCAGGAATCCATTCAAGATTATAGTCTGAGGACTTGGTTCACATTCGTCTACATATTATGACATTAGTCTTTCTGCTCTAATCATTTCTTCCTTTCTTTCCTAAAAGTATTTTCATGAGCACCCTTGGATTTCTGCCATACCTGACCTCACTTTCAGCTTAGTGGCTAGATTGCCCCTCCCCTCTCTCTCCTTCATTGTCCTCCCCTCCACCTCTAGCCCATGCCTGTGATCTGCATCCCAGTCACCTTCCCAGTATTGTTCCACATCCTTCTCCCTTTTGCATTTATTTATTTATTTATCTTCCCCAGGGATAGAAGTGGGGAAAAAAATAAAAATAAATATGCAAATGAAAGGAAAAAAACTGAGAGAAATTTAATTAAAATGTGTGTGTTTCTTTCCCTTTGAGTGCTTTAGGGTGGAATAGCAAATTCTTAAAAAAGAGAGCACTCAGAATAAGGTTAAAGAGCTGAAAACTGATTACATGCAATTGAAAATGAAAGCAGGGAGGGGGTGGTGGAATTGTAGCATATTGAGATAGGTAAAAGGCTCAGGGAGACTCTTGCTGGCAATGGGGCATTTTTCACTGCGAGTTACAGCCAAGCAGGCGTTGCATACAAGGTCTGTAACAGGGTTTCAGATGCTTTGCATCAGGAGAGAGGCAGGGAGAAAAGCATTTTACTTTGAAGAGCAATATAAAGAGGGCACCTTGCAGATGAGAGCTGGAAAAAAAGAGGACAGCCAGAAAGGATAGAGGAGTCAAGGAGAGCCATCCACTTCATCCCAGTCCTGTTTCTAACTGTAGATCTGCCATGCCCCAGGAGAGGACGGTACTTGTAGAGTGCTTGAGGGTAGGGGAGGAGAGCAAGAAGTAAATGACTTAGTCTCATGCTTTATGCAGGATCTGCAATCATTGGTTCTAAGCTTGATCAAAGCCACAGCTATAATGCATCTGTGTGAAGGAGAAGAGGAACTTGTTGGGCTGTGGAGTTTTGCTTTAGCTTATTAAAGATGCAAGGGTGAAAGGAAGTTTTGGGGAGAAGGCTGAAGTTCCCCAGCCTTACAGGCATGTTTGGACAGCAGTAGTCTGGCTAGGTCCAATTTCTGATCGACTCCTAGGTGTTCACGGGGTATTCTAGCAGCTTCCTAACATAACAGAGCTCCCTTAGACCAAGCACAGGACCTTCAAGCGTAAAACCCATCTCCCCCACAGACACACTACAACAGGATCAGGGCCAGCAATAGATTTGTGTGCAAGGGGTGAGAATGTGTGTATTATGTGGCCTCGCTTAGGAGCAGTGTTTTTTCCTGTGCATCTTCATTCTGCTCTCATCCCAACATGGGAATCATTTCTTGGCAGCCTGTTGTAATTAAATAGAGCTTTGAAAGACCATGTCCCCACTTGTGCCCTACCTTGGTTCCAGCCTGTCAAAGCCTCTTCATTACTTGGAGCCCGGGGGACACCTCTTAATTTTTAAACCAGTGACGTTCTAGGAAGTGTAGTGCTGTCCCACTGTAGTCACTCAAAGCAGCTCTTTCTTAGGGCCGTTTCTGCCTGCTGCAGGGACTAGGGAGCTTTCTCCCCAAGCTGAAGCAAAACCCAAGCGCTCCTTTTCTTGCTTGACTGCTGGCAGCCACATTGCATTGTCTGCAGGAGACACTGTTTTGGTGCTGTTCCTGCCCTTCAGGGTCTTGTCTGGAAGGAGAGAGGAGGGCACTGGAGGCAACTACTGAGGCTTTTACCCTATGGACAGTTTGAATAGTGTCTGGAAGAGGAGAGGGGGCACTGGAGGCAGCTGCTGAGGCTTGTACCTTACAGGCAGTTCGAATAGTGTCTGGAAAAGGTCCCATTCTTAATAGCCATCCCACCCAAGTTCATGATTCTGACTTGTCCACACACTGTCTGATTCCTCAAGAAGCTCTAGCTCTCCTGGAAGGGGCTTAGCGGCAAAGACAGTGGCTGCTTCCTACTCTGGTGTGGCAGGGATTGATGCTGCAGATTTTATAACCCACCAAGGGTAGCTCTCCCCTTCTGCCCACAGATATTAAAAGTCCAATTCTCCCTTCTATTTCGTATGCCTTTTAGAGTGAAAGAGAGAAAAGAAGTTCTCTTGCTGTGATGCAGAGTGATTGCTGCCATCTGACATTCACATTTATCTGCTTGGTCTTTTCATTATCTCCCTCCCATTTGTTTCTGCTCATTCTCAAGTGTCTGCTGATCCTCACCCTTCCTCAGAGACTGGCTGTTGTTAAAACTCCTCTGCTTACCTGCTCTGTATATCTTGACTTATCTGCTTGGTTCACATCTCCGTTCATCGATTTTTTCATACCCAGCTGCTAAATAAGAACTGTTTGCACCTCTTCCACAAGCGTCTTCTGCTTTGCTGCTGCAAATTCCTTTGTAGTCCAACTAAAACAGTGTAGCTTCTCATTACAAACAGAAAAGCCAGCGGGCTTCTGATTTTTCTTACTTCTGCCTGTGTGCTGCTTGTTTTATTTCACTTGAGAGGTCACACCACTGGTGACTCTTACTAGAGCTGTTTCCCTAACTTTGAGCCCAATTTATCAGTCAGGATACAAGGCTCATTTTTCCCAGGTGCCCCAGACCAGGAATAGCCTCTGGCTGTTACATAGCTTTTCAACAAACTGTGTCAAGAAGCAGTGAAATCCTGCCTCCGGGAACATGTTCCCTTTCTTAGTTTTATTCTGTATTGTTACAATCTCAGTTAGTGTCTCAATTACGTAAAGACGGGCTTGAGCTGCAAATTCAGATCAGAAATTCACGGATGTTTGTATCCCATGGGCTTGTCTGCCTCGATTTTTTTGTACCACTATAACTATATAAATATATGAGTGATAAGCGACAAATACCTTTGCTGGAGTTTCACTGTGCCTACACTGGAGGATTATTCCATGCCATTCAAAGCTGCTTTAGTAGTGCCAAATCTAGGAGCAGGATGCCTCCAAAGTTAGCGTGTAAACCTGAGTGCTATGCAATTCTCTGGTACAGGAATGCTCAACTGCAACCAAAGTCCAACTTACGATTTTTATCCTATTTGTATCTGCACAGTCATCAATCTCACAATTCTTTTCCATGAAATCAGTGCTGTTTCTGTTAACTGTGAGATAAATCTTCAGCTTGATCTTCAGCATAAATCTTCAGGCCTGCCATATGGGAAATGAGATACACTCTGGATAAAGGTGTGAAGATGTTGCAGGTAAAATAGGAAATAGCCAGGACTGATGCTGAAAATTCAAGCTTCCCTGTTGGGCTGCTGTGTGTTTACCACAGTTGGGTTTTGGAAGTTTGGGGCTGTTGGCTTTTTGAAGTATGAAAATAGTTTCACTGCCTTCTTGGCACTGGTTTTATTTCAGAAGTAGAAATGAGTTTGGCTTGCAGAAAATGTCCTGTGCTTGTAATTGTGGGAACCTTCTGGTTCTGGAGGTCTTCTTATATACATCTACATCTGATCCCAGTCAAAAAAGAAGTGTTGGGATAACAGACTTTCTTAAGAGGATCTACAAGTCCAGCATCTAACACTTATGAATTTGGAAAGGCACTGACATGTGAAGTAAATAATTCATCAAATTTTCAAATATCAGGACTGGTCAGTACAATAGGAGATCCAAGAGGAATTGGTTTGTCTAGGCCTGGATTTTACCATGCTCTGCCCTCAATCGTTTGCAATGCAAGGCCAAGGGCATTTCTCCATGATTAAGGCATGCAGCATATCATGCCCTTTTCGCTTTCTCATGTTTTGAGGGATACCTCATGCAACCAGGACCCTCTGAATGGTTCTGGACCATATAGTCAGTCCATGGATAAAAAATCTGGGTGGCGAAGTATGGTTGGAAACCCCACAAGAGGGCAACAAAAACCCCATGTGTGCAGCTGTCCGGGGGCTGCAGGGCTGAGAAAGGTTCCCATGGAGTGAGTGGGGAGGTGGGAGCCTGCAGGGCTGCTTATCCTAGCTCTGGTCCTCAGCTTTGCTTTCCCAATTGTGAAAGACTGGCAGTGTGCATATGTTGCTCTTAATCTTCCTTTTGCATCCCTGTTTTTGCAGTTGTCAGAGCGCCGTATTATGCAAATTGGAATTAAGCAATTAAGGCGATAATGTTTCCCTTGAAGAGTTTG